GCTATTTTTGTGCTGGAGGAAAGTTTTTCTCTGATGGATCATGAAGAGACCTGCTCTACTCCCATCTGTTTCAACAGGGAGTTTCTTTGATCAATTGGCCAGGCAAGCTGGCTAAAACACCCTCTGATTCCGCTCCTTCAGTCCTGAGAACTTCTAAGTTTTGTCTTTGAGCTGTTGGGATCAAACAGAGAATTTTTTAGCAGCCTGAGGAGAGTCTAGAAGTGAATTTGTTTCTAGTTTTAGCTGGAAGACCCTGTGTAGGTTTCACTGGCACACAGCCATGCCCAAAGCCACATGAATCATTTTGCCCCATAGAAACTCTTAAGCTTTCGATTTTATGCCTTCAATCCACAAGCTGTCACTCTGATTTTTCAGGCAGTCACTCTGCGTAATGCTAATTTTAGGATTTCACCTAAAGTTTGTAACAAAGCTTGGCCTTGCTTTTCCTCCACAGGTTGAAATGTCTATATCACACCACTAGTGCCAAGAAACTTGTGCCACCTGAAGCCAGTTTAAGCATGGTGCAGCCCCCATGCAGGCCTTGTATGTGAAGTTCTGTGCCTGGTTGGAGCAGGCATAATCCAGTACCACCAGCAGTGACCATTCCTAAGGACAGACCTAAGGCGAAGCTGATCAGTGTTTGCCACCACAGCACGAGGACATGACCATATAATCTGGTATGGACATGATCAGGCACAGGTGGGGCCTGGTGATGAAACCTGAGTTGTTTCTAGCAGTTAAATAGCCAGTTACAGGCTCGAAGGTAACAGAGAGGCAGGGGTTTTGCCAGGGAGGGAAGCAGGCTATGAGAAAAAAAAGGACATCTTGTTCCTTAAAGATGCCTCATTCAGAGTGAGCAGTAATAATTTTCAAATAGCTAAAAGCCTTCCCGTGGTGCAGGGGGCACACGACCTTGCAGTAAAACTGCCTTGCTTCTGGCTATTCAGTCTATTCCTGTTCCTTTGAGAGCTGTTGTGTGTTTGGTGCTGCTGACAGTGAGTGCTGATCAGGGCCAAATCCTTCTCCAGCTCTACACAGGGGCTCGCTTTTGACCTGTAATATTTGGTGGGTCTTTTATCTTCAGCAGAAACTGTCAATCACGTTAAGAAGAATGGAGGGCATCTGCTACTGGTTTGGTTGCTGTCACCTACAACCTGAGCTGCATCAGGAAAGTTTGCTCACTCCTAGGCCCTGTGTGGTGGCTGCATAGGAAGAAATCTCAGTGCTGTTGGCAGTTTACCTCTGCTTTCAGAGATTGGCCCACACTTGGTCCCAAACACCCCAGGAGTGCAAGGAGCTTGCCTCTTCTTTGCTTTGATAGCCTATTTTCCTTTCAAAGGTCACAGTGACTGCAGTTGAAAGGCATGGGTTTTGAAAATAACACTGAAAAGAGAGTTTTTAACTTTCTCAGAGAGACTTAAAACTTCTGCTAGGGTCTCAGGAAGCAAAAGCATTGTTATGAATGAATGAATGAATGAATGAATGAATGAATGAATGAATGAATGAATGAATGAATGAATTGAAATATGCCTTTTCCACCACTGCAGCTCATCTGTGCTAAGAGCTGTTGTGCCTGGGACTTGCCCATCACAACCCTTTGGGGTGAGCAGTGATCATCCCCTCATTCTGCTGTTTGCACCTCCACATCTGCCCATGTGCTTAGCATGGCACTCCATGAGAACAACAGGTTGTTTATTCAGTGAATACAACATTACCAGTGCCTCAAAAGGCTCTGGCTGGTCCTGCTCTTGGTGAATGGCATCAGTGGTTTCCTTGTGTGCAGAATGGAAGGAGAGCTTAATTTTCCACAACCATTTTTCTGAAGTGACCCCCACACCCACTTGAGGCAATGCCTGAGCAGATGCCTAATCTGAAACCTGCTGGTAAAACTACAGGAACACCAGTATTTTCAACTTTAAAGAAATTGGATAATCTTGTAATAAGTTGAGCACCTTTTATTTACTTCAGAGTCAGTAGGTTCCTCTTTTTAAGTTTTCTCATTGCGCAGTTATTAAGATCAGACTTCTGTGACTCTTACATTTCTGTCTCTTCAAGCTGGCTGCTAAGTATGTGTTAAAAAACCCAGGTGCAGGTCTGCAGGTCTGTGTGTGGCAAGTGGAGTGAGAGCTGGTAATAGAGATCAGCAGGAGATCTCGATTTCCTGCTCTTTCCATCACCTCTAAGACAAGGTGCCACACAGCCATGCAGTGCAATCTGCAGCTCTGAGAGCTCTGAGACTGCAACTCTATCTTTGTCATTTCAATTTCTTTTTTCTTTTGCTGACCTGAAGGATTAATCCCTTTTCTGTGCCTTGCTGCCAGTCAGTTCCTGCAGCACAGCCCCTGACTGCTGTCGTGCCTGAAACACATTTTAATCAGTGACAGGAGGTCTTATTCTTCAGCCCAAAACCTGAGAGGACAGCTCAGTGTATGTAAGCAGCTCCCAAAACCCTTGTGCACTGAATATTTGTGCATCTTCCACCTTTCCAGGACATACCCATCATTAAATCATCCCCAAACATGCTAAGAGTGCAGACACGTGTTCAGCCTGCTACAGAAGAATCTCTCATTACAGATGCCAGGGCTCTGCACGTCTCAGGCAGAGGTGAGCAGCACTCTGGGCACCAGCTGAGCTCAGGCCGTCACCCCTCATGTCCCGCCCCACTGCTGTGCCCTGGCTGACCTCTGCCAAAACGTCACCCCAGCGCTCACGACACATTTGGCTGTGCAAAGGGTGCCAGAGCCCTATGCCAAGCAGAAGCCTGTGGCATTGCCTGTGGGAAGTGCAGGCTGGGAGAAGTGGCCGGCTCCTTGGCTGCCAGAATTGGTTAGGGCTGTGCTAGCGCTACCTGCGCTTACGGGGCATCATCCCCGCTGAGGAATCTGGGCCCTGCATGGACAGATGGTCCTAATCCACTTCTTATTGGATAGCTGTGCACATCACAAGTGAGACTTACTGGGCTGTTATGGGCAATCAGCAGAGACCTCAAGGGCTGAGTGTCAGAGAGGAAATGGAAGGATCGCTGCCTCTGCAGCTGGTCCCTCCCGCCAGGCTGGAGCAGATGGCAGGCGAGGAGCTCTCCGTATGGTACCTGTTCGGTCACTGGAAAGAAGGCCATTTCTCAGGACACTTACAGCTTCCATAAAGAATAAATAAACCACCCAGTGAGCTGAATAATAGCTCTAATAGCTATGAAATACTTTAAAGAATAAATGTGCAGGTAAATAATGTCACAAAGCTGTCTGAATCAGGATTCTGAAGCCCATGTGAGAGTTGACGGATATGTTTCTCCTGAAAACAGCATTCCTTGATGGTGTGATGATTTTGTTACAGTTGGTATCATAACTCAAAACTGCATTTTTTGTCTTTGTCAAGCACCAGTATGGTGGGAGGAAAAAAAATCCGTTGTGTCAGTTCAGTGAACATTCACTACAACTAAATCTTTCTTCTTTCCCTTGTACTATTGCCTCAGCCATTTTTGAGTTGGCCTTGCTACTTTTTATAGTGTCATATGCCCATGGATGTCTATCTCCACCTTCCAGCCTTCTTTTGCTAATATATAATGAACATCAGTTCAATGCCAAAGATCAGGCCCCTGGAGCCAGTGTCATTTTTTGGCCCCTCTCTGTGTCCCTTTTCAAATCCTCAGAAAAGCTTTTCAGTAGAGATAATGAATTATTCTGCAGAAGCCAGTTCAGTTTCTGGAACGCTGGACTCAGACATCACAGAACTAATCCTCTTGTAGCCCTATCACTGAAAACACATTAATGTGTCTTCCCTTAGGCTTCCTTGCATTTCAGCTGCTGGTCCAGGACCAGGTTCGTTCTGGCTGAGCTACATTTCACAAATCATGACAAGCCACTTTTTGCAGAGATCATAATCATTCTAATTTTCTATCATTAAGCATCAGTAATGTGCTAGATAAATATTTGTAGTAGAAAAGAGACCTCCACTCCCTGTAGCTGTGCTGGGTTAAAATTTAACTTTCTGTTTTGAGCTCTTCTCCAGTCTAAAGTTTGAGTGCGTGACAGGCACAGATGATTTGCTCAGAGCAGGGCTGAAATGAGAGTAAGGAGAGGATCCCAAGCCAGGTTCTGCTCTGATGGGTGCATGGGTGAGGTTCCATGCTGGTGTGAACAGATAGGGGTCAGCACAGCTTGGTGGTGTACCTTACACTGAATACCCAGTCCTTCAGGGCAATAGTGACTGACCTTCAGCCACCAGAAATGTACTTCAGCAAAAGGAAACTATCTGAAACATTAGATCACCAGCTTTGCTGTTTGGCCTTCTAGAGTGGGACTGAATTTACCCTGCATACACATGGGCTCTCTTTCTCAGCAGAGCACTAACTGGTGCTGTGCTGTTTGCTTCAGCCTGTCTGCTCCTCCACAGCCACCACCAGCAGCAAGACATGAAATGGGCTTTTTCTCCACCTGCTCCTTCTGCACAGGGCAGTGCAGCCCTCTGTGAAATGGAGCAGCTTCCCAGTTGTGCAGGACCCACAACCCCACAACATACTGTGTGTTCATGTCCCCCTTGCTGACAAGTGATTTTGCTTTAGCAATAAGCAGATGAAAGTGGAACAGGTTATTTGTTTTGCAATTGACTTTTCATCAGTAATTTTTCCAGGGGAATCTGTCTAGTTCTGCTACCTGCTGCTAAAACGGGTCCTCAGAGAGGGCAGTACCTGCGGCCTTCCCTCTTCAGGAGAGTAGCCTTGTCCATCAGGTGTCTGTTTTGCCTTCTTCTGGCAATTGAGGCTTGACTGCATGAAAGAAATAAGACAGCATTGAATCTTATGGAATATGTTATTTGGGATAATTGGGAAAATGCAGTCTCAGAGCAGAATAAGAATATCCTTGCAGTAGGTGCTATCAAATGACAGTCTCTTCCTCCCTGTAGGCAAGCTTTGAGCAGAAACCATTTCACAGTAATAGCTGTGCTCAGGAAAGAAAGGAGTCTTCAATTTTTAACCTTTCCCTTTCTATGTTCACTTCCAGACATGGGCTGAGGAAGTAACTGGTGTGTTTTGGCACCAGCACCACTTGCAGGCTGTCAGCCCTTGGTAAGCAGAGCTGCAGCATCCACCTCCAAACAGGCAGAGCCATGGGAGAAGCTGTGCCTGCTGCCTCAAAGGAGCTGCATCCCCTCTGATGGACTGAGCTCCAGCCCTGGAAGGTGGCTCAGTCCCCTGCCCATCTCCACGTGTGGCTTTTCTCTCCGAACTACAGGCACTGGCAGTGGGGGCTGAAGAGAGTGATCCTCTCAGAGGCTGGAGCAGCAACAGTATTCACTTGATTCACTTCAAGTTTTTTTCCTAAGTCCATGGAGACACCAAGTGAGTGTGATGGGACAGAGACTGCCTTTCTACAGAGAATTAATCAAAAGCAATGTTGAACAGAGATGTTCAGTATTTTTTTTCTCACTTCCATGAGGGAATGGCTTGTCATTTCTTGATATAAGGGGGTGGACAGCTTTTGCACAAGAAAATAACTTCTTGCTTCTACATTTTCTCTCTACACTGCTTCTGCTCTTGTTCACAGAGCTGCCTGACCACCCAGTCCTCACTTTTCCAGCAGCTTCAGTTCCTTTATTTGGACAAATAAACAAATAACCCCATTTATTAATTTGGTGTTTTCCACACTAGGCATAAGGTTCCAAAATCCATCATGTTCTGGGGTTTTCTGCTAGGTAAGGGAAAAAAAGAAGCAAAATGCCTCAGAAAACAGCCTGCACATTCTGAATTTTCATGTTGTGACAGTATTCATAGAAAAGAAACAAAATGCTCTGATAAAATGGATGCAATTTTCCTGGCCCATCTACTGGAAGGGCATCTTTAATGAAATCCATATAATTTCTCTTTTTTTCCTTCAAATTCATGCTCATAACCCAGGTTCAAATCTTCCTCTCAATTAGCAAGTTCTAGCTTCAGCCTGGGAGGATGTGTGTCAAGTACTTTGTAGGCTCTGTGTATATATGTCTAAAATGGGTGTCCTGGGAGCTATGGTTGGCCCTGACTGCCTTTGTCCCCAAAAAAGGTAGCACTTAGGGGAACATATTTCTCTGCTTTTCTCTCAGTGCTGTGCATTAATGCCACTACTCAAGCTAAGAATAGAGAGTCTTCATCTTGATGGCTTTGAAACAGACCAGAACAGCAAATCTTACTAATGTGCAGGCCAGATCCTGCTCTCAGCTGCACAGACTTCTGTGGAACAATTTAGAAGTTAATGATGCACTAGGGACCCTGTGGTGTAGATGAAGCACCATAACAAAGAAATGTTTGTTGAAAAACCACTCTGAGCTCTCTCTGGTTCCTTTATCTCAGCAAGAGGTAATTTCAAATAAGGTCTCACAGGGATGTGCTGTGAGCCTGTCTCTACTGGATATTTTTACTATTATGTCCGGTGGTGCTAACTGGAGAATGTATTTATATAATTTTTCTATGACTTCCTTGCCTGAAAGGACTGAAGGACTCACCTGGAGTGAAGGCCTGAGTTAAAGATGATTTGGACTAACAGGGAAAATGGCCCAGAATGAAATTCAGTGATGATGAAGGTGAAATTATATACTTAGGGATATACAACTACCCAAGTGGCAAAAGTACTGCAAAATAAGAACAAAGAGTCACAGCAGGTCATGGGATAAATATAAGTCACAGGTATTCTACTGTGGCAGTTGTTCTCCCCATCTACTTGATACAGGGTGAGGGCAAATCCGGTTAACCTGTGTGAAGGAGAACTTATGTTAGATGGGAAGAAAAATATCATCATGAAACTTGTAGCCAGTAACCAAGGGAGGCCTCAGATCCCTGCCACCGTGTGTTCAGGAATAGATTAGATTAAGCACAGAAGCCATATATCGTAAACTCTGTATAATCCAGACACTTGATTCCTAAAAAATAAAAACAGTATTTGAAATGACAGGTCAGGAAAATCTTGCTTTTCTGAGTATCTGTTGGATTTCTTGTCCCCCCTGCTTCTTCCACACAAAGGACCCCCTCCCCTGTCCACATATTCCTTCATTGCTTCATTTGCTGTATTGGGAAGAAGACAGAAACGGTGTGGTCAAAGAGACAGCAAAAAAACAAAAACAAAACAAAAACCCAAACCAAAATCAAACAAACAAAACACAAAAACAAAACAAACAACAAACTATAAGAAGAGGGGAAACTATTGGAAGAGGCAAAACTAAGTGTGACAACACTGCAGAAAATAAGGAAACACCATTTCAATTGGATGTTATCCATGCAGTTTGCATTTGAGCATAGCCAAATAGATTTTGGTAAGTGCAGCGCAGCTCTGCTCCATTTACATATCCCCCTTTTCCAAAAGGAGCAAAGGTAGTTGCTGTAACACTCTGAAGAGGAAAGGGGAGAAAACCAGATAGATTTGATGGTACGCTTTCTGTAATTTCTTTGCTATTTTTGGTTTTACTCTCTGAGGGAGGCAGGGAATGAAAGCCTTTAAAGCAGCTGCCTAGCGCTGGTGTATAAAAGCTGGGGAAATGCACACCTTGTGTGTGCAGAGGGGTGGCAAGGACCTGTGCAGAGTGTTCATCATGCTGCTTCTTCATTTCCCAGCAGACTAACCCTTAGAAGGCCCTTCCTCTACATTTTGCACTGCACTCATCATTTCCCTGTGTCCCTGAAAATGCCAAGCCATTATCGGGTTGCTCTCCTTTCTTTTGAAAATCTAGATGTTTTAAACTTCACTTTTCAGTAGCAGTGGAAAAGTTGTTAGCCTCTGAGATGCAGTTAATCTTTGGACAAATATACTTTCAATGGTGCACTGTTGTCTAGCAACTATACTATAAACAGCCCTCCATTTGTCTCCTGTGGGTAATCACCGATTTCTTGGGGATTAAAGCTTAAGTAACACTCCAATCTAGGTGCACGTATCAGACCACAGCGTATTACAGCAGATTATGGCTCCCAGCATACAGCTTGCTTAACCATTTAGAATCACAACAGAAAACAGACAGCTGCAATGACAGGAAAATGAGCCCTAGCCTGTAAAGTAATTAGTATTTTGACTTAAGTTGTGGAACATTCCACTGGCAGGCCCAAAACAATTCCTGTCATATAGGAGGGTAGGGTGTCAGATAAGCAGCGTATCGGAACATCTCATCTAGGCTGAGCCTGAGTTATTTCAGATATGTCTGGATAGATCTCATGATGCAGAGAACAGCCTCTGCATGATCTCCTGCATCTGCTGCCTCATGCCACAGGGATGGAGTTTTACCTTCCAGTGGTGTGCAGCACCGTGCTTCAGCCGCGTTCTACGGCTCACTGGTGGGCACTGAGGCTCGGGACTAGTTGAACAGACTCTCTAAGGGTTGTGAATACAATCTACTGGATGCATCTGCTTCTGTAGATCACTTTCTGCTTAAGAAGAACCGTGCTGTTGCTAAATCACTGCATTTAACACCTTCCCCAGGGAAGCTCCCCTGCCCTTGCTGATGGTCCTGGTGTAATGCTAGGGAATGAGTGAGTGCTGTGGCCTGGGGACTGCCCTCGGGAAAGGGCAGTCGTTTGGTTGGATTTAAATGAAATCGAAATAATTTCATTAAATAAATTAAAATTACAGGCTCTAGAGTTAGAATGAGTCTCAGCATTTTTGGGATTAGAGTTTCTAATGTTGACCTCCCACACTGAAAGAAATACATGTCTGTGCGTGGGTATTGCTACATATCTTTTGGAAAATGGGCGTTTAACTGAAGAAATTATGTTCAAGACATTTAAGATTTACCTTAAGAATTCACATTTTAAAGAGAGCAAGTTTGATAAAATCTGGGAAAAACAAACTCTGGGCTTTCCCCACCTTCCCCTCGTGATGCTTTTTAAATGGCTTGTTAGGGACCTACAAGGAGCAACTCAAGTGCCCCCTTGTCCCTGCAACACTCAGGCTCTCCAGGAGTTAGATATGAAGTCAGGAGGCAGCAGAGGCCACACACTCACTCAGCCTGACCAAAACACTGCATGCAGGAAAAGGCAAATTGTTGTGCCTGCCCTCTGCTTTCCCAGCCCATCTGAGCCATCTCCTGCAGCTGCTGCAGCAGCAGATCCCTCCGTGGAGGCTCAAGAGGTGAAAGTAGATGGAAAGCAGGAAACAGCCTCACCAAAGGGAAAATCTCTCCAGGGCCAAGCCAGTGGGAGGGTTGCACTATGCCAGCTTTTGCTCCCAGCTCTGCCAAGAGGTATTTGAGGCTTATGACCAGTGTTGGAGTGCCCAGCAGGTCAGTGGAGCAGTGCAAGGAGCACCCCAAATGCTGGGTTGAAACTTACTTAGATGCAAGTGCTTCCCCTGTATGGGTGACCCTGGAAAGTGTCTATGTATAGAAATGATATCTCAGAAAATACGGGCTTAATTCAAATGCCCACAGGGTGCCCCTCTCTGAAACACCACACTTTCAGAAACTTGCATTCTCAAGCAGTTGTTGGCAACAAGGAAGGGCTGATCCTACTTCCCCCAGCTGTGGAAGGTTTTGGGATGCAATGACAGGGAGCTTTTGTACCCTGCATTTTTCCCTAAGTGTTTAAAAGAAGGAGGAGTTGGCTTTCTCTGGGAGCCTCTACACAAACAGTGTGATGCCACTGGGACTTATTGAGTTTTCAGTTCTTACCTCCAGAGAATCTTACTACTGTTTTGTCCTTCAGTTTCAAATCCCCAGAGCAGTTACTTAGGTGTCCTTGTCTTTTTTTCTTCCTACCACGCTCTCCTGAAGGGGGTGTATGTGTAAAAGTCAGTGTTTCTTGCACAACACATCCCATGAAGTTTTGGTGATACAATGAGGTTACACACTGAATGGAGCAATAATTAAATTCCCTCCATATTTGTATTTAGAGAAATGATGGCATTATCATTACACTCCCCCCCCCCCCCCCCTTTTAAAAATTCCTTTCCAAATCAGCTTAAATCCCTCCTCCCTCTGCATTGATTTCAGTAGATTCTGGAACAAAAACAGAGCATGGACAAATTCTTGGTCCTGTTTAATTTAATGGCAAAAACTCCTGTTGTACTGAATTTTGAACAGTGAAAAGTTCACTTTTGAATGAAAGAGGACAAATATCTGAAGCCTCTTGGGGCTAATGAAAATCTGTCAATTGTTGTCAGCTGGATTTGCATCAGTGTAAGATAAAATAATACATATTTTGATAAAACACAGACAAAACCCATTCAAATATGGTGTGAAAGTAGTTACATGTCTAGTACGAGAGAAATTTTCATCACATAATGAAAATTAATGTTTAAAAAATTATTACCTCTGCAAAGGTAGACGCATCATGCACTGTCTCAGCATTTGAGATGTGGTCATTTTAAAAGCCAAGAACCTTGGCAATGCCCTTTGGAGATTAGCGTTTGTTAACAGTGTACATTAGGAGTCAAGCAATCACAGAGAGTGCAATTAAGTGCATAATCACAGATATTTT